TCGCCCGGGGCCTCTACTCTTCTCCTCGTCGTTCTCCTCTCTTCGTTACACCTTAGGCTCGGTGGCTGACTACCTTCCTGTTCGTCTCGTTCTCTCCTTCCGTCTGACGCTCGAGTCGTCTTCTTCGTTCGACGCTTTCGACTACCTGCGAAGGTGACGGGGCACCAGCCGATTCTCCCGGTTCATTCGAAATCGCGACCTTGTCGGTGCTTTGCATTCGCCGTGCATCCCGCAACCAACGCCGACCACCCTCTTTCTCTCTCCTTCTCCTTTCGTTCTGTTCCCTTCCGTCCGCGTTACTCACCCATCGGTAATTGGCGGAAGTTGTATGCGGGCGTGAGGCGCGTCGAACCGTTGGAATGTCGCTTGACGGTTTAATCTGTTCTGACGTTTTAATTTTCCGGCCAAGAAAATATACAATGTTTGGAGATAGGAAAATCGAGATCAGACTAAAAGCGTACAGGGTGTAATCTACTTTTCGTAGATTAAAAGGTAACTTGGGTAGCTCTCGACGAAAAGATCAGGGAATTTTCTCAAAAACTAAAATTTGAATAGTAGAGGAATATCGCGTGATCGAGTTTAACGCTGACTGAAAAATTTCATGAAATCCATTGTCGATCGTCGAACAATACGAACGTTGTCGGTTAACCCCGAGCGCACGGTGAACGAGCTTTAATGCGCCGGTATGGCTCCAGAGAATTGGTATTTTCAAGATAGGGAGGCCAATCAGTGCCGAGAAAGAGAGAGCCACCGGCTATTTGGCCGCGAATAATAATGATTACGGGCGGCACTCTCGAAGCAGGAAATGGCGTTGCCAGATGGTAGGGGGTAGAAGGTGAAATTTCGTTGGTGGTGAACTACGGTTACGTTCCCTTCGATTCTTACGCAATTAGATGGACAGGGTAAAACGAGCTGGTGAAAAGAATCCGGATTTCGTGCACAAAATCGAGCATCCATCGTTTTACCGAGACTTCCCTTACCGAAACCGGATTTATCCACCATTTTCATTTATCTTTCTTATTTAAAACGGAATTCCCGACGAAACCCAGAGATTGTACGTACGCAAACGCATCTCTTCGGTGAGGATTTTACTGCTTCCACGAAGGCCGGTTCCGCGAATAGACAGACCAAACTGGCCAGTTGAAATTACTCGAATTTTATATGCACGTTACGCGATCGTTTCCAGGAAACTTTTTATACCCAGCATTGCGTACGATCGTGCCGTACGTCCGTGGAGCGATGTACACACTTTTCTCCGTTACGTATCGGAATGTGCTGTGGCGATCGCTTGTTTATCCCGTTAGCGGACTCTTTCTTTCCTCGACCAACGCGCACCGACCCCGGCTCCAACTCGTTTGATAGGCGACGGGCAAGAAAAACGCGGTCGACGTGTCGTCCAAGGGAACGTCTGCGAATCCTTTGACTATTCCGGGATGCTAGACCGGGTTCGACTGGTCTGCCGGTAGTCGTTCAATCGTCCATGGTCGTCGAAACGATCTTTACGAGGTCCAAGTGTAGCGACAAATAAGAATTCCAACGTCGGGTCGTTGCAAAAACCGTATTTACTTTCCACCGAATTCAGGGATGCGCAATTATCCGTAGATCGTAATATCGAGAAAGATAAGCATCTTCCTGATACGCTAATGTAAAGAGCGTCGGATGGCGTTAAAGCTCCTCTTAGGATAAAGAAGCTTTTGAAAAGACTGCCTCTTGTTAACACTCGCGCGGAAATGAGAAACGTCTGTGTTCGTCTTATCCGCAGGATCTCGGCTAACAGACCCAATAGTCGTGTTCACCTTCGTCACCTGACGTCAAAAGCGGATCGGAGCTACCTGGTGTACCCCAGAATCTTCGGGAGTCTCGTCATTTTAGTCTCAGCTTGTTTCTGGACTCCGGAAGGGACCGAGTGCCATTCGAAGGTAGAGAAAGAGCCCCGTGCGTAGTTTGCTTCTTTTGACGATTTCATCGTAACGATTCCTCGTATTCTACGTAAATTCATAGCTTCCTCTGATCATGCTAAGACGCGGTGTCAGTTCGCATCTAACAGTCACCGTTTATATCGAAAGAAAGACACGAAACCACGAAGACGAACACAGAAAGTATGCTTACAGCTTTCTACGAATTTTTATGAACTTTTCGTTGCACGAACGAAATTTTTGCCGTGTTTGAATTCTATTGTATATTCGCCTGGGCCGACAGTAGCTTGTTAATATTGAAAGGCAGCAACGAAAAATGCAAAGGTTTAGATCAGAATTCCTTCTCCGCGTGGCGTTTTTCAACGGCCGATACCTTCTCGAAGATTGGCGATGCGATCTGCTCGCCACT